ACATGCTCCATGCTCGGACCTCGGCTGCTTCCTTCAGGACCCTAATCATTGGTGCCTGGTGCCCTTTCACGTGCTCGCCATCTGCCGGGAAGATTTTATGCCTCAACTTCAACTCCTATTTTTACCTAAAAAATTTCTTTTCATCTCACGAAACCTAGATTGGGCCTTCATATCTATGACGTCCTCCAAGCACCCCGTTCCCCTGCTTTATCCCTCCACTTACCTGGTAACCCCTGCGTGGTTATTTATTCCCCTCTATGACACCCTTCTCCATCTTAGTGCCCAGCATCCAGCACAGGTCTGACGCCTAGTATGTGCTCCAAAGACTTTGGCTGAGTGATTGAACAAAACCAGCCAATGTCTCCCAATGGCCCTGAATGTGTCAGCGGGTCTCAGGGACACTCTGCCTTTCCTCAAGTCCCCTGCTCTCCGTGTTTCCTAGATATGGAGAGCAACAGACACATATGCCACACATGCACACTCACCCCCACACGTGCACACACACACTCATATGCATGTGCATGCGCACACACACACTTTCTCATTGTCGTCTCCTCCTTCAGCCTCTAGATCTGTGCTGCCCGTTGTGGTAACCCCTAACCACATTTAGCTCTTGAGTGCTTAAAATGCGGCTAGTCTGAATTGACATGGGTTGTAAGTGTAAAATATACACTGAACTTTGAAGGTTTGTTTGCAAAAAAAAAAAAAAATCTAAAATATCTTAATTTTATATTGTTGAAATGGCAATACTTTATATGTATTAGGTTAAATAAAATATACTATTAAAATCAAGTTCACCTAAAAAAATAACATCAAGTTCACCTGTTTCTTTTGGTTCTTTTTCATGTGGCTTCTACAAAATCAAAAAACATCACATATGGTTCTCCTACGACCTTTCTGTTGGCCAGCAGGGCTCCAGAAGCTCAGGGAGCCGTAGGTCCCCTCTTTCTCCAGGAGGTGGCGATCCCTCCCTGCCTTTAACACCTTCATTCCAGAAAACTCTGGAAGCTTCCCGAGGAAACTGCCTGTGTAACATATCAGAACTTGAACCTCAAATAAAGATGGGGCTACACTCAGCCCTGCAGTGAAGCCAACCTATCTATGCAAATGAGGCTTCAAAATAAATCCACAGGAAGTCAAGAAGTTAAATGGCATCCTCCTCAACAGAAGAATCAAGACCTAGTTGCCAGAACACCTACTCTGGGGGGCACATGCCACACTTTCAACCTGGTTTCTATTTCCCAGGGGTTTATGAAACCTGTTGGGGGGATGAGCGTCAGTAGATACTGCGCACACAGCCCGAATCCACCTTCAGATCCTAGGAACCCTTCCCCAGCTGCCAGGCACTGGCTGCCGAGGCTCACAGCTTTGGTACCTTTCCAAGGATTGCTCTTGGCTGAAAGAAGGTGCCTCACCCGTCCAATGACTGTCCTTCAGAAGAAACAAAGCCTGGCCCTCTCACCTCCATTCAGGACACTTGGGAGGGGCCCCCCAGCTTCAGAGCTTCTCCTGGGATCAGCTGAGGCCTCTACTGGCACTGCCTCTTCCAGAGGGTTAAACTCCGTCTGCCCACCTCTGCTGACCTTGATGGCACTTCCAGTAAATGTCTTCATGCAGATCTGAGTCTTTAAGTCTATTTCCTGCAGAATCTGACCCATAACAATTTAGTGCCAAGAGTGGTCCTAGGGAACAGACTCTAAATGGGGTTCTAGAGCTGGGTCGCTAGCCTGTTAATGCGGATCCCCACCAGTAGTGGGAGGTATGATATTCTGGGCCCTCGCACACTACAGTGGTGCAATCATTAAAACTTTGGTGGGCAGTGAACCCACCAAATGTGGGTGGTGGTGAAAAATCGCAGGCATCTGCACCATGTGGGAGAGCAGTCATATAAGGACTATGGGATCTCATGACTATTGTTGGCAGCAGTCACAGTGGAAAAAGCAAAGAGCTGTGGCTGATGGGTCACCAATCGGAGGCTCAGTATAAAAGCCAGAGGGTCTCCTTGGCAGAGTGTGAAGAAACCCTGCCTCCCGAAGTTAGGGAACGGAGAAAAGTTGAGAAGCACATCCCAGACTTAGTAAGGGCAGCAGGGCCCTAGAGGAGGTTTGTATCCCCAACCTCAGTGAGCCAGCTATGCCAAGGAGGACCGGAATTGGGAAGAAGGGCGACTCTGAGACATCTGGGGAGATCTGGGTTGCTAGACTCAGTGCTGGGTTCTCCTTGAGCCTTCTGGACCCTCACACCTGTGACCCCCTCCTGTGTGAACCCCCCCACCCCTGCCTGTGACAGGTGAGTGCTTTCTCCCTGCTGGAAGACAAAACTCCTCCTTGTAAGACATGTGCCAACCCACCCTGCACTTCAAGGATCTACTCCATCTCTCCTCTTTGTTCCAGGTCAGTACTTTGGCCTAAATCACAACTTAGGGGCGCCTGGGGGGCTCAGTCGGTTGGGCGTCTGCCTTCAGCTCTGGTCACAATTCAAGTCCCAGGATCAAGCCATCAAGCTCCACATTGAGACTCCCTGCTCACCGGGGGGGTCTGCTTCTCCCTCTCTCTCTGCCTTTCCCCTGGCTCATGCGCGCTCTCTCTCTCTCTCTCTCTCTATATATATATATATATATATATATAATCTCAAATGAATACATGAAAAATTTAAAAATAATAATAAATCACAACTTAACTCAGCTGGTAATGTGCTGGGCCACCTGCAGGGAGAAAAAGGCTACCCCGGGAAGCCAACGGTGTGGACAGTAGCTGGAAGAATGTGAGATCCGAGTCAAGGATACTGGGTCAGGAGAGGAAGAACATTCCGCTGGATAAGGCATGTGTGTTGTTCTGGGAACACTCTTCCCCGCTGCAGGATTTATCACCCTGGCAAGGACCCCGGAAGCTGGTGCTAACACACCGCTAGGGCAGCTCCTGGCAGCTTGGAGACAGTGATCCAGGGCACCCTTGGCTGGCAGGATTGTCCTCAGCTCAGGAAGCCACCTCAACCAATGTCAGCGCAGGGCAAAAGGCCTGCCCTCTGCCTCGATCTGGGTGTCTCTGAGGCCTTCCCGGCTCCTGAGCTCCCATGAGATGGGCCAAGGCCTCTGTGGCAACTGCGTCACCACGGCTGCCTTCCCCCTCTGCCCAAGGCTGCTCCCCCTCCTGCCCCTGCTCCCCACCAGGGGCTGCCCCTGAGAGCTCTCTCTCCGTGAACCTCCGGCCTGCAACCCTCCATCTCGGTTTCTGTTTCCTGGGGAACCTGCCTGTTACAGACTAAGGCTGAAAAGGTAAATCCAATCAGGCAAAATGTGCTCAGGCCAGGTGTGCAGGGCAGGTCTTCGGTCCAGGGAAGGAGTGGAGAGAAATAAGCCACCCTCAAATCCACCAAAAAACGTGACTCCCTCCTAAGAGGATACACAGAGGGGGTACATACACAGAGGGGGTACATGCACGGAGGGGGTAATTTCTGAGGGCCAGATGGCCAGATGCCATAACAGACAGCAGCCTTCCCTGACCTTAGGGCCTTTCAATGGCTCTGCGTGGAAAATTGGGGTCTCGTTAACATCATCAGACTGTCTCTGGGTCCTGTCTCCCAGGGTACCCACCTCTCAGTCTCCTCCAGGTGGACTTCCCTGGGGCCTGCAGGGAGAACTGGGCAGTTGTCCCATTGAGGGGAGTGGGGAGGAGCAGGTGCAGCCCCGTGTGGGAAGCTCCCAGAGGTCCTGGGACCAGGACGTCGCTCACCTGGGCCCAGGCGGATGCTCACTGCCACACCGTGCCAGGCTCTGCGGGCTGCCAGAGTTGCTGCAGGCTGGACGCCCATGCTGGTGGTGGGGGTGTCGGGGAGGGAGGGAGAAGATGGGGGATGCGGGGAGAATTCTCCAGGCCCCAGCCATGCCAACCGGTCAGTGTATCTTCAACAGATGGCATCTGCCCTGCTGTGACCGCTGCTTCCTCTCCTTGAGGCTGCTCCCCTGCATCTGGCCTCCCTACACACCCTTCTCTCCTAAAAGACTTAAAGGCCACCAGGGCCTCCTTGTTAGGAGCATCTGAGATCTTTTCTTCATTCTGGCTGCATGTGACGCTGCTGACCGTCCCATCCCTTGGATTCTGGGACATGTCTTGATCTTTGCCTTTCTTCCTGTTAATGTCGCCTTCCCTCCGAAGAGTTGACATTTCTTAGCTTCCCCGTAGTGACATGCAGCCGCTCAGAGCACTCTTCCTATACCGAGACCTCCGTTGTCTACTGGATCATGAGGACAGCTCTATCTGTTCCTGTCATCCTCGCAGCTTCAGATCCTTAGTGGGATTGGGGCTCAGCCGGGTCAGAGGTGAGACTGTGCTGGAACATGCGGGAAGTTAGGTAACACGGCTCTCCGGGGGGATCTCTGTGTGCCCTGGACAACTGGCTCCAAACTATCATAGAATGTTCTGGAGCCCTGAATCAGGAGCCAAGCCACAGCCTTTGGTTTGCTTGGGACCAGAGAGCCTTATGGGAGGGAACGGGAGCCCAGCCCACAGCTGCCATTCAGACGTGCACGGAATTGTCTGGTGGATCAGGAAGCCAGACCAGAGGGAGCGAGGGTGGCACTCCTAAGGGGAGCCGTCCTGTGAGAAGAGTGGTACGGAGGCCAATGGGCACAATCAGAGCTGGGGAGCAGTGGTCCATACAGGACCCTTTCAAGGGAGCTGCTGCTGGAAGAAGACTGGCATGAAGAATTAAACTGTAGGACACAGGGGTGGCTCAGCGGTTGAGTGTCTGCCTGCAGCTCAGGGCATGACCCCAGGGTCCCGGGATCGAGTCCCACATCGGGCTCCCCACAGGGAGCCTGCTTCTCCCCCTGCCTGTGTCTTTGCCCTCTCTCTCTCTCTCTCTCTCTGTGTCTCTATGAATAAATAAAATCTTAAAAAAAAAACTAAAAATAAAATCTTAAAAAAATTGTTTACCAGAATTTTTTTTAAAAAGATTTTATTTATTCATTCATGAGAAACACAGGGAGAGGGAGAGAGAGGCAGAGACACAGGCAGAGGGAGAAGCAGGCTCCATGCAGGACCCAATCCCAGGACCCCAGGATCACGGCCAGGGCTAAAGGCAAGCTAAACGGCTGAGCCACCCAGGGATCCCTGTTTACCAGAAATTTGAATGTCACAAGGCTTCCTGCATTTTTATCTGCTAAATCTAGTAAACATTCACAAGGTACATGTCCTAAGGCCATTCTGCTGATCAGATTAATTTTAGAACAGCCCCTGGGGGAGGACTCCCTGGTGTCCAGACACGTTAGTGTTCTGAAATGCCTCAGCAGGGGCGCCTGGGTGGCTCAACTGGTTAAGCATCTGCCTTTGACCCAGGTCTTGATCTCAGGGTCCTGGAATCAAGCCCTATATGAGGCTCCCTGCTCAGCAGGGAATCTGCTTCTTCCTCTCTCTCTCTCTCTCTCTCTCTGCCCCTCCCACCACTCGAGTCTTTCCATCTCTCTCTCAAATAACTTAAAAAAACCCCACAACTGAATGCTATATTGTCAGCACCCCAGAAGCCCCCCTAGGGCCACCACTGCCTCCAACACACAGATTAGAACAGAATCCGTGGACTCAGAACCAATCTTGTTTGGGGACTTCTTTCATTCCCTGTCGCATTGGGTAAGGGTCCTTGGTTATGCCGTGTGTCCTCATGGCCGTTTGCTCTCCTGCCTGGATGATCCTCCACTTTGTGTCTATTCTGCAGTCCCTTACTGCTGATAGTCATCTGGGCTGTTTCCAGTTGGAGAACCTTCTAGCTCTTTGGGGCTCGAGTGGGATTGCAGGTCGCAGGGTGCGAGTCTAGCTTTGGCAGCTACTCTGAAGTCTTCCAAAGTGGCAGCCGCAGCACTGGGGTGATTTAAGTACCTTGGGGCAGGTGTGGGAGACTCAGCAGGATACCAGGGGGATGGGAGGAGGACGTGGGCCACCAAGGACCTTTGGCTTGTTCTGGTTGGTTTCTGCTACTGATAGTGGACAGCAGGATTTGACTTACTTCTGGATCTTGGGATTTTCCCCAGAGAGCTCTGGAAAGAGGTATGCATGGGTACATGCGTGGAGGAGGTAATTTATGAGAGCAGGATGTAGAGTGGTTTGGCTGGTCATCGGTGGCTTGCCTCTGTCTACACAGAAAGGTCTAAACACTGCCTGCCTTTCCAGTCTTCACAGGCTCTAGTAGACTGTGCAACCCAGAGCCAGATTTGGGCATTCCCTCCCAAGGCCAATGGGTCACTCACTCGCTCCCCCCACTTTGGTAGACCCTGACTTGGGGACACAGTCTCATGATTGGTAGAACTGTGAAGACGTGCACCCACCACTTGGAAAATCCACTAGGCCTGACAGCCCCGGGGGGAATAGTGTGGTGCGGTGTCTAAGCCTCTAAGCCCTCTCTGAGCCTCAGTTTCCTTCTCCTTCTCTGGGTTAATACTAGGTGGGGCTCTCATGTAGATTAAAAGACATTCTTGCTGAGGCTCAACACCTCATGTGACTCTGCAAGTGCTACAAATGGTAGCACCCTTGGGCTGCAGGAGCTGGAAGGACTCTCGGACGTGGGCTTGTCCAAGCCTCTAGAGCACAAAGGGTGAATGCCTATCCCAGCCCGGCAGAGCTGGAGCAGGGATTAGCGCTGGACCCCTGAGGTTTAGCCCTGTGCTCTTCCCCCAGATTCTGGGGCCTCAATCAATCACTCTAATCCCCTGCGCGTTTAGTATGTCACGCTGATGTGTGACCAGCAGGCAGGGACAGGGCATGTAGCTGCACAGCCCTGCTGGCTTTGTCCTACTGCTGCAACAAGGAGGCGGGGCAGGGATTATAAACCTGTGCAAACAACACATTTTCTCCAGTGACACCTGCTGCAACAGTCACACACCCCAGAGTCCCAATTTTCCCGGCTCCTGTGCCTGTGGACGACCTCCAGGGTGAGTGGCTCTGAGGGGGAAACACTGGGCTCCTGTTCCTGGTAAGTGGGTCCCCCCCGCCCCTGGCTCCCAGCCTTTAGGAACAGGAGCTACCCTGCTTGGGGCTTCTGGACATAGGGAGAAAAGCGGTGGAGGGAGGGCAAGACAATTATGGGAGAGAGAGATGAAGTGCCATAGGGGCCTAGATGATGAGCCAGGGCCTGGGCAGGAGGAGTCTCAGATGCCCCCCAGGCCCGCTCCCCTCCATCCCCTCAGGCTCCCCTATCTCCCCATGCCCTTCCCACGTGTGCGTGGTCCAGTCTGAGGCCATCTAAGTAGTGGGAAGGCTCCTTGAGGACCCATTTTGATTAAGGGTCTTTCTCTCCAGGGCCAATGGCTGAAGCTGCCGAAAAAGCCAGAGCCACAGCCCTTTATACCCAAGTCCCCTCCTGGGAGGGTGAGACAAAAGGGCCCACTCTTCTCGCAGTTGTGTTAGCCGTGGTCAGGGTCACCCGTCCCACCTTGGGCAGCAGTGTTGGGGTGTCTCAGGCTCCATGGAGCCCTGCCCACCACCTCCTGGGACCTAGATGCACCTGGAGGCCAGTGAGGCTAGGATCCGGAGGTTTGGAAGGGCTGCCGAGAGGGAAAGGTGGGGAGAGGCCACTAATGTTTACAGTCCCCAGAATCCACACTGGGACTCACCCGACTCCAGGTCTGGCTACAAAAGAGGCCAAGTGCACCATCACCCTGGCCCGCCTCTACTGGAGACGCAGACCGTACCCCTGACGCTCGCTCCTCTCCAATAGGTGCTGGAAGGCCCTTTTTGGTGACGAAGGCCACTCCTGCCGCCGGGCGGCCCGGGCAGCCACCAGCAGCCAGCATGTCCACACAGAGCGCACACCACCTGGAGTCCGAGGCCTCGCACCTGCAGCCGGAGATCCCGGAGGCCCTGAGCCGCCGGCGCCGCCACACACTTCCCGCCAGCGAGTTTCGCTGCCTCACCCCAGAGGATGCTGCCAGCGTGTTTGAGATCGAGCGCGAAGGTGAGCGGGCCCCGCGCAGGGCCTGGACCCCGACACGCTCTGCCGCAGGTGCCCCGTGGGGAGGAGCCCGTCCTTGGTGGGCTGGGCCCCGGGGTCTCAGACTGAACGTGCATTTCTCCGTTCAGGAAAGTGGGGATGGGACAGCCCTGAATCCCATTTTCTCGTGGGAGAGGACGGGGGTGTTGGGGTGGGGGGTTGCAGTGGGAGACCCCACCCGGGCTTCTGAGCAGATGCTTGGTGTGCAGTGGCCAGCGGTGTGGTGACCACGGAGTCACCTGCCGCGCCTCCTTCCGCAGCCTTCATCTCTGTCTTGGGCATCTGCCCACTGTATCTGGACGAGATCAAGCACTTCCTGAGCCTGTGTCCAGAGCTGTCCCTGGGCTGGTTCCAGGAGGGCCGCCTTGTGGCCTTCATCATTGGCTCGCTTTGGGATGAGGAGAGACTCACTCAGGTGAGGGCAGGATGGGGCTGGGAAGCACAGCTGCGGGAAGCCTCTGGAAAGGGAGGCTGCCACCGCCAGGCTTGGGAGGCCAAGGAGTCCAGGGCCTGGAATTTCTCCCTCTGGTCCTCCCCCGGGGTCAAAAGGACCTACCTCTTTGGGACCCCCCTCGGGTAGGAAGGGAGCCCTGTTTGGAGGTGCTCAGGAAGCCGGGCGGGCGTAGTGTGGGAGGCAGGTGTCAGCAGAGATGACCCAGACTCACATCCCTGCTCATTCCCAGGAGTCGCTGACGCTGCACCGGCCTGGGGGTGACACCATCCACCTACACGTGCTGGCGGTGCACCACACTTTCCGGGGGCAAGGCAAGGGCTCCATGCTGATGTGGCGCTACCTGTACCACCTGGGGAGCCAGCCAGCAGTGCGCCGGGCCGTGCTCATGTGCGAGGACGCGCTGGTGCCCTTCTACCAGAGTCTGGGCTTCCACCTTGTGGGCCCGTGCGCCATCACCCTGGGCTCACTCACCTTCACTGAGCTCCAATGCTCCATGCGGGGCCATATCTCCCTGCGCAGGAACAGTGGCTGCTGACCAGGGCACCCCACCCACCCAGCTGCCACCCCAGGGCGCCCACAGCCACATGCCAGAGTTCCTACCCATCCCCAATGTCCCCTTCTCCCCTGGCCCAGGCTGCCCAGCTAGAGCACGGGTGGTGCACTTTCCAGCGGGTTCTCATGTGGCTCCCCGGACCTCCTGCATCCCCAGCTGTGATGGAGGTGGGGCCGGGTTGGTAACCGGGGACAGCAGGTGTCCCGTGACCTGCCTCAGTGACTCTCTCCTTCTCAAGAACCAATGGTGGGCCCTCTGGGCAGACAGCATCCTGGTCCTTATGGAGGTGTCAGGGATTCCCTTTCTCATCCTCAGCCCCAGAACAGGGAGCAGGGGGAAGCTGGGAACAGGAAAGTACAGGGGCTACCTCCCAGCTCCCCCGTGTGCTCTCCACCCCCGACCTCAGACACCCTGGGTCCTCCTCCCCCTAATAAAGTAATCGTTCTGCATAACCTTCCAGGTGGCTCCTGGTGCAGGGTGAGGGCTGCAGGTGAGGCACAGAGAAGGGATGAGGCCTGTGACCTCGCCCCACTGTCTCCCGCTGGGGCAGCCAGTCCCTCACTGCCCCTGGGCTCCAAGGACTTCACCGGGTTGGACCAGATCCCCCACAAGTGAAAATACCCTCCCTTTGGGCCAAGGCCCTGCCCCTGAGCTCATGGCTGACCCCCTTCCCCCACCGATAAAAAAAAAAAGCCCCAGTTTTCACTCTGCTAGAGTCCCCCAGGTCAAAAAACGATACTTCTAGAGAATATCATTTAATACACTTGAGACACCATCCATATAAAGTTAGCGTTACTTTAAAAAATTAGAACCATAATATAAACCAGTAAAAAACGGGCCTGACTGGGCCTTGGGCAACCCCTGGGAGAGGGTCCTCGAGGTGGCCCGTCCCCCTCCCCACCAGGCAGGCCCCCCATCGCGTGGGGTAGGGCGGCCTCCTCAGAGCCAGCCCCAGAAGACAGAACACTGACTGTCTGTGGGAGGGAGGACCAGGCCAGACGGAGGGGACAGCCTATTTGGGACAAACAAGCCAAGGCTCTCAGCTCCCCAGCTGTGTGTCCTTCCTCTTTCTCTGCTCCAGACCACGGCAGAGCCTTTCCCACGCGTCTGGCCAGGAGCATTAGGACAGGCTCCCCGGGCCACTGCTGAATAAGGGGTCCTGGCTCACAGGGCAGGGAGGGGAGGAGGAAGGGGAAGGAGGGCTGGCCGTGGTGAGGCAGGGACGGGAGCCTGGTGGGAACCCTGGGCACGTCCCAGGGAGGGCAGGCTCACAGTAATGGCACGTGTGGTGGGCGGGGGGGTGGGGGCAAGAGTAGAGGCCCGGAGGGGGTGGGGGCAGATCGGCAAAGCCGAGGATGAAAGGCCACCCAGAGGCAGGGGTCCTGCCGGCAGGGGAGTGGTGGGAAGGCAGGGGGCCCTCCTTTGTGACTGTCACCGCGGGCCTCACCTGCTGGAGGGAGGGCCTGGGCCCTGGCAGCGGGTCTCTGGGGGGCGGAGTGCTGCAGACAGGCAGCAGGGCCCAACCCCGCTGGGCAGGCGTCAGTGCAGCACCTGATCCAGCTCGTACTTCTCGCAGAAGCGGCTGGTGAAGGGGAAGCAGGTGAGGTACTCGATCCAGGGCCAGTTGATGGGGTAGACATAGAGCCAGATGACGAGAGAGGCGAAGAGGCCGGCGAAGACCAGCAGCGACACCAGGATGAGGGCCCGCTTGCGGTACTTGTCGCTGGTGCCGAAGGTGATGTAGGGCAGGAAGGCGAAGGCCAGCAGCAGGCCGCTGAGGAAGCCGAAGATGTGGGCGATGTTGTCGATCCAGGGCAGGAGGCCACAGATGAAGAGGAAGAGCACGATGGCCGACAGGTTCAAGAAGGCCTTCCAGGGCCGCTCCAGCAGCTGCCAGCTCTGGAAGAGCTCCACGAACAGGCAGGCGAGGAGGCCGAACTGCGAGCCTGCAGGGCCCACCTGAGCCGGGCGGGGAGGGGGGTGGAGGGGAGGGGGACAGCGTCACTCCCAGGCACCGGGTGCAAAGCCTGGGCATAGCCCGGCTGGGGCACTGGGACCTGGGTCAGCCAGCCTACGGGAGGGCTCCTCCCAGGGCTGGGGGCCCGGACGTTGAGGCTCCTGGACCAAAGTGGGGCTCGTGGCACCCCCAGCTTTCTGCAAACACTGAGGACCGACTGTGTGCCCGGTGTGTGGTCCGTGCAGTAAGCAGGACAGACAGGCCTATCCGGGCAGCACAGGGCAGGACGGACAGACACCGAACGCCAAGGGCGTTGGGTTGACCTGATGGAAAACCTGCCGCTGTTTCTGTGGGTCGTGAACGGTGCACACTGGAGATTTCATACAGCTCAACCCACAGATAATGTGACACGCGGGTTGGCAGGCAGGGTCACAATCACGAAGAGAAATGAAGCAGAGGAGGGGAACAAGGTGAGGGACGGGGTCTGGGAGAGTCTTTCTGGCAGTGAAGCCTGAGCATGACTCGGGGGCATCGCCGTTCCCTCACACCCAGGGATTAGGGGATCAGCCAATAAGCCCACGGCTTAGCTGTGCACCTGCTGTCGAGCCTGGCCGGGGAGGGGCCGTGAGTCCCTCGGGCAGGCCCACAGGGAAAGTGGGGGGAAGCAGCAGAGCTGGCCCTCCCAGCCCATCCCCCGAGGCCCTACCTCCGCCCGATACGGGAGGAAGATGGCACTGGCGAGGTTGCCGGTGATGCCACTGAGGATGAAGATGATGGCGATGCGGTGCCAGCCGGCCAGCTTCTCCAGGTCCCGCAGGATGGTCATTTGGAAGACCACGGACACGAGGCAGTGCACCACGCTGGGGAGGGGGACATGTCAGGCATCCGCTGGTCCGTGTCTGCCCTTGGCTGCCAGCCAGAGGGGCAGGGGTAGGGGTACAGGGGAGGGGCGGGGGGGGGGAAGCACCACACAGTGTGGGTGGGGCGGGCAGCAAGGGGCCTTTTACCCAGCGTGGAGGAACAGAGACAGCCAGAGCCTGTAGAACTGATCCGGGACCTCGGGGTTGAGGAAGGGCAGCAGCCCACACACCTTGTCCAAGCAGTGCACCTGAGGGCAAGCACGGGCGGTCAGCACCTGTGACCCAGCTGGCCCTGCTGTGGGGGCAGAGGCGGTGTGCAGAGCCAGATTCCTGCGGCGGGAGGGAAGCACGAGGCCGGCCCCAGCAGGCTGCCACACTCACCTCATGCTCAGGGCCCCAGCAGGCCCGGCCTCACCTGGGAGCACAGTGTTGCCTCTTCATGGAAATAGCCGTGCATGAATTCACAGTATTCCCGGGTGGTGATCTCACAGCTGGGGGGACAGGGAGGCAAGGGGGTACATCACGGCCCCGAGGGCACCTGCCCGTGGGCAGAAAGGGGCACCCCTCTGCAGGGACCCTAGCTCTGGGGCAAGCTCCCCTTCATCCTGCAAGCTCCCGGAGTCGGGGAGGGAGGATGCTAGTGCGGGCGGTGGGTGGTGACCGGGGAGCACGGGGAGCTCCGGGCGGGGCACCGGCTGACCTGCCCTTGGTGCTGATGCAGCACGGCCGGCCCTTGATCTGGCAATCCATGTGCAGGAAGCCGGTGCGATTGCTCTTGGCTTGCTCCGTGCAGATCTGCGGGAGGGACACGGATGCTGGGTTGGGCCTGCGCCGCAGTGGGCACCCAGCCTGCCCTTCCTAGACCGCTCTCCACCCCAGACACTCACTGGCCACTTGGTGATGTCATCAGGCCAGATGTGGGCACCGCTCGAGGCTGGCTCCTCACAGGTTCTGGAGGCAGAGTTCGGCAGGGGTGGGGTGGAATGAGGACCTGTGCCTGTGCCCCCTCCCCCAGCCTGCCACACCCACCCACCAACTTCCCTGTAGGACGCACGGATGGGACACTCAACCCCACCTTCTCACAGCCCAGCTGTGGGCCACCTGGGACGGTACCTGGGGTCTTGGTGACACACGGCTCCTGATGTCCGCTTCTGGCCCAGATCAGACTTGTCCATGGGGGGCCCCGTATCATCCTGCCACTTGACAAAAGTGGCCAAAGTCTCCTGGAAGATAGAGGGGGGTTGGTTGTGAGTAGGACAATGCCATCCCCATTAGTGTGGGCAAGGGACCCTCCAGGACAGCAAGTCATCCCCTGGTCCCCAGGGCTCAGGCTCGTCTCCCAGACCTCTACCCTGGCTGACATTCCCAAGACCTGGGAATGCCACTTCTTTTGCTTCTCTGGGGCTGGGAAGGTTGGCACGCTCCCTGTGCTGGGCCATGTACGGGGTGTGTGGGGCCAGAAGGAGGGAGGGGATGGTCATTGTCCTTGAGGTCCCCTCCTCTAGGCTAGGGTGAGTGAAGATGGTGCACAGGACTGGAGAGGGGCTGGTGGGGTTGGGGGCCCTGGCCCACCGAGCAGTCCTTCCGCTGGGTCTGGATGCAGCCCGAGTGGTCGTTCTGGACACAGCAGCCCGAGTCTCGCTCTAGGTCTCGCTCTCGAAGCACCAGCTGCTCAATCTGCTGGTCCTTCCGGATGCAGGGGGAGAACTTGGCTCCCAGGTGGATTAAATCAATCTGGGGGAGGGAAAAGAGTGAGCTTGGGCCCGGACCGGCTCAACTCTGTTGAGTTTCCCCTGAAAGTCCCCTGGGCAAGCCGACCCCTCGCCCAGCTGAGGGGATGACAGGGCCCCGGGGCTCCCCACTGAGATGCTGTCCCATCCCCCTGGGCTCTTCACCGAGCTGGGGCCAATCCAGAAGTTCTCCTGCTGGATGTACTTGACGCTCTCATACACACCTTTGTTTCTGAGCACCTGGGGCAGGAGAGGGAGTGGGGGGTCAGGGGTTTCCCCATCCCAGGGTAGGGTCCCCAAGATAGGGTCAACGGGTATAGTTATGGTGAGCCCTGAGCACTCCTCCAGGTGTGGCCATGGGAGGGATTCCACGGCTGATGATGCTGGGACCCTCAGCGGGGAGCACCCCTTTCTTAGCCTGACTTACCAGCTGGGTGGTGACGTGCTGGGCAAAGCCCACAGGTGCGATGCCATACGTGCAAATCACCAGCAGCGTGATGATGATGTGGACGAAGGTCAGCCAGTAGGTGAAGTAGGGCCTGGGGACAGGGACCCCAGGTCAGCAGAGAAGAACCCACATCTCAACCCTCAGCCTGCTGAGCCCAGCCCCCATCAGCTCTCACTTGCTCTCTCCCCTCCCCCTTTAGTCCCCTCCAACGTACCCTTCACCACAGTGACTTTGAAAATGTAACTCTGAGTGTCTCTCCCTCAGCTTAAAACCCTTAGACGGCTTCCTCCTCCCCTTGGAATAAGGTCTAACATCACCTCCTACTGGCTGCAAGGCCTTCCTGTGCCTGCCCACCTTCTCCAACTCTTACAGCTCCTGGAACAAACCAGGATCCGTGCAGCCCCAGGGCCTTTGCACATGGGGTTTCCTTTGCCAGAGATGCTCTTCACATCTCTCTCTACCCATTTAACTCCTGCCCATGCTGACGGCACCCCTCCCCCACCAAGCCGTCCATTCATTCTCTGTCCTCCTGGGACGCTTGCTACACTTGTTATTCATTTTTTATGATTTTGGGTTTGATGTATTGGCTCACTACCCGTTGCATGCTGTGACAACTGCCCCTCCTCAACCCTCTGGTCTCCCCCACAGTCCCCTCACTCATAAAGCTTCTAACTGTGTCTCTGGCCCATCCTGTCCTCCCTGTCCCTCCCAGTGGGGCTATTCCAGCGCCTGTGTGATGGCGCTCAATGAATGCTTGTTGACTGCTGTTGGGAGCTGGGCTAAGGATACAGGCCAAGAGAGCAAGGAGGGTGAAGAGACAGCAAGCACCCGCGGGCCCTTCCAGGTGACATGCATGCTCATAGGGTAACCGTGAGGACTTGTCCCTGCTCTCCTCTCCCACAGGAGCTGCTCACTAAACACCTGTGGAATAAGGGGTGCTGCAGGAGGGGGGGTCCCGGGGGGTCTGCAAGCTCCTAGAACTCCGGGGGGGTGGTTCTCGGCCCCCCTCCCCTCTGTCTACACCCGAGGGGCTCCCGAGAGCGAGGAGCGCAGCCCACGGTCCCTGCCACCTCGCCTGTCGGCCCGCTCACCGGTGGCTGTCAAAGCTCTCCAGCTGGCGCTGCACGGTGCTGCTGATGCTGCGGCGGTAGCTCCGGTTCAGCCAGTTGCCCACCACGCCCAGGCCGTAGTGCCGCTTCTTCCGGTCGAAGGCGAAATGCTTCACCTTGGAGGCGATGCGCTTGCCACGCCTGGTCCCAGCGACCGGGGCTCGGCCGTACTCCTTCCTGGTGCGGGACGGCTCTCAGCCTGCTGTCCCCTCCCACACATCCCAGAAGGGGGCCCTGGCAGTCTGGGGAGCCCTTCCCCGCTGTGCCATCTCCCTGCACCCGGAGGAAGGATGCTCAGAACTCACAGAGGGATCTGCACCCCATCGGGGGAGACCGGGGAGGCCGAGCGTGGGATCCCCCGGAAGTAGCTGGCAGAGAGTGGGGGAGACTCAAACACGTCATCGGGCATGGAGCTCATTTCTTCCTGGGGTGGGGTGGAGCGGGGGACACAGAAAAAGACAGCGTGAGGAGTCACTGTCCCAAATACTGCTCCCCGTAGCTCAATTCAAGGACAGATCAAAGCTAGACGGGCTCTGTGGGAGGGAAGGGGAAGGCGGGTGCCCGTCAGCCCTGACAGTGACTTTCCTGGCCGGCACCCTGCCCTGCCAGGTCGACAGAAGGGCAGGGGCCCAGGAGTTCCAGGACATGGCACACCCTGTCCCACCAATGGACCTTTGGACCTCTCAGGGGCTCCCGGCACAGGATGATCAAGGCCAGGTCATCTCTCCTAACTCCCAGGCCACCCCATACCCGGTCCCAAGGCCCACACCCCATGCTTGCCTTACTAAAAAACGAGGAGTCAAATGTGTCTGCCCCATCGACCACGTCCTCCTCCAGGAAGCTGGGGTAGGCAAAGCTGCGTTTGACCACCCGGCACCGCTGTCCCGTGGCATCCAGCACAGAGCGTCCCTGTGACAGGGCAGAGGCACGGGCATCAGGTCCAGGTCAGGTGCCAGCACTGCTCCCTCCTCTGAAGGAACTGTCAAGCCTTGGGAGATGGGACCCTACCCAGAGCACAGTGTCTGCAGGAGAAGGCGAGGAAGGCCAGGAAGCTTCTGTAGCCCCAAACCCACCGGTCTCTCCAAGGTTTGCGGTTATCCTCTCCCTGCTGACTTCCTGCCCTCTGGCTTGGGCAGCGAGCTTGCCACCACTCGTTCTGCACCCTTCCTCCCCAAACTCGGGCCACGTTCCCCAGACGCAGTGCCCTGGCACAGCATGCCAGGCCCATCTGCCTCTTTGACCCCAACCTGCTGCCACCCCCTCCTAGGAGCACCCCTTGTTAAAACCACATCTGACCACACGCCCCTCCAGGCCTTCGCAGGGCCCCTTCCCTTGGCTGAGAACACCATTCCTTTCCTTCCTTCCTTCCCTGGGGAGCTTCTCCTTATTTTTCTGGGCTCAGCCTGAGTGCCTGTCCTGACATCAGCCCCTCTCGCAGAGGCCCTAGCAGTCATCACACCGAATAGCGACACCTGTACCCTCCGGGCTGGGGGCTCTTGCAGGGCAGCGACACACTCAGCACATCCTAGGCGCTGTGAACTTGGGCAAAGGGTGGTGCCTGCACTGGCTTCCCCAGCTATGGAGCACTGGGGCTGGGAGGCCATGGCCAGGCTCCTGAGCTGCAGGGCCCTCTTCCTGCCAGGGAACCTGGTGCACCCACTGCCCTGAGCATGGAAGGAAGGACGTACCTGGTAGGCTCTCGGGGGGATGCTTTGCGGAGGGGAGGGGGACACCATGGGGGCAGGGCAGAGGCGGGGAGGGATCGTCACCTTGAGGAGGGCAGCGGCAGCCTGAAAGCTCATGTGGGCCACGGACATCCTCTTGCGGCGGGGCAGGTGGGAATGGCCAGAGCGGACACTGGTGAAGGAGGTGAGGGACAGGACCCCCGGGGTCAGCGGCGGGTGTGGGGCATGGGGCCTGTCCACCTCATCCGGGTGGCGGAATGCCCGGCCACGGGCCAGTGGGTCGACGATCTGGGAGGGATGGAGGTAGTGAGCAGAGCTGATGGGGCGGGGGGGGGGGCCCTGGTGCGGAGGCCCGCCCCTCGCGACCCCAGGGGAGCCCACCTTGGGCATCTTGCAGGGTTTGGGAGACTCGGTGCCCTGGAAGGAAGGCACCTCCTGGCTGGGGAGCTCCAGGTCCCGCTGGCACGACGCCTTGAGTCGGCCGTAGCGCACGCTGCAGTGATGCAAGCTTCTGCGCTGCCAGTGCTGCCGCTTGGCCTCCCAGTCGCCGCTGACCCCGAACCACTGGGCGGTGCCCCTGCGGGAGCAGACAGACAAGGCGGCTGTGAAGGCGTAATGAAGGTGACGACAACGGAAGCAGGACAGGGCACATACAGGGGTGACGGGAGGTGTGTGCAGGGGAAGTGACGGGAGGTGACAGGGCACAGGTGCGTGCAGCGGGTCGGCTCCCGTTTTGCCCCCGGGTTGGTACCCAGTGACCACATGATAGGGTGGAACAGAGTCCAGAGCCGGAGCTGGGCTGGGCAGGGTCTGGGGGGCACCCTGAGGGCCAGTGCCACCCCACATCCCCACTCCCTGAACCCCCCCACCCCAGCCTCCGCACTGTGACTTTACATGGCATGCGTCCCTGTTGGGCCTCAGTTTCCCCCCTATAACATGCATGTTCCAGCTCTGTCAGGGGTGCTGCTCACAAAGGCTTGCCTACCCCTTCTAGGAAGGGGACCGGGGTGGCCATGCCCAGCCAAGGTCCACGGGGCTGCTGGTAGGGGCAGGGGGGTGGTGGGAAGGTGCTCACTTGCGAATACTCTGGGACAAGGAGGCCTGGCGGCGGAAGCCAGGGCGCTTCTCCGAGCTGCCCTCCTGCCATCGTCCCCGCTGCTCCTGGAGGCTGACGCTCTTCATGTAGGCCGGGTTCCTGGGCCTCTGTGGGTGGTGGGGTGGGAGGACAGGCTGGGGCTTGGTGGAGCCCAGATCCCGGGCTCTCTCCTCTTCAGCTCCCTATGTGAGAACCCCGAGAACGCACCTCACCCCCAATTTAGACACCTGAGCCGCTTTCCTTCCGAGTGTAAAGTCACCATTCTTTACACTCTTCGATGAACCCTAGCGTGATTTCCTAACTCCCTACCCAGTGCTCCCCGCTGGCTCCCTGCATGCAAAAGAGCCCCCAGGGCGAGTGGGTGGCACCAACACAGCACCCCTTTTATGCCCCAGGACACTGTTTCAAGGCTGTTCTCAATAAGCCCTTTATGGAGCCTCGGTCCAGCCTATCTTCATTTCCATCCTCCACGGGAGCCGGGCACTGCGGGGTCAGGCTGCCGATGCCCAGGGTGCGGGGCTCCTCGGGCTGGGGGTGGCTGGCCCGGGCAGGAAATGGAAAGAGCTGGTCCTGCTGGAACCGGGAGCCTTTCTCGAAGCTTCCACTGACCACCGGGAGACGCAGCTCCTGCGCCCAGAGCCCACTCCGTGACGTCTGGGGCCAGGGAGGAGGGGGCATGGGCTAAATCAGGGGTGACACAGGCAGAAGGGGCCTCCTCTGCTCAAAGGTGTCGTGTGGGCACAGCTGTCGCTTGTGGCAGGGCAGCGAGCCTCCAGGCTGCCCCCTTACCTGGGGCAGCATGCTGGCCTGCTCGCCAGGGGCCGAGGCCTCGGGTGGTGGGATGGTGATGGACAGGTTGGGCGGCTTCCGGCTCTGCAGGCGGCTGCTGGACACGGAGGAGACGCTCTCACCATTCTTGTCAGTGGAGTCCATGGTGGGCCGGCTGGAATGGAGACCGGGAGAGGGGGCATGAGTGTGTCGATAGGTGGCAAGACAGAAGGGGACCTGGGGACACCCAGGTGCCAGGGCAGGCAGCCCAGGCTGAGAACAACCTGCAGAAAGTCGGTCAAATCTAATTCTAGAGTCTAAGCAGCGTGACAGACTGAACCTGAACTGGGTGGGGTATCGCAAGTGGTTCTATTTCTGTCCTTTGTTTGTATTCCAGGCCAGCAGGGGCCTGGGAAATCCCCACCTTTCTACCTCCTTCCATTGGGGGGTCTCTGCTTCAGGCAAGAACCACAGCCAGAGAGGAGCCTGAGGGCAAAGGACAGAGGGACAGAGACCTGGGCTGCCTTGTCAGTTTGGTCAAGGTAGGCCTGGGGCCAGAAGGTAGCTTCTTGGGCCCAGGAGCCCTGCCTTTGACCTTGGGGCAGGGCTTGGTGGAAGATGAGAAGGCTCCAGGGCAACCTGGTGCCCTAGCCACAATCAGGAGGTCCCCAGCTGTGCAGGGAAGGGTGGTTCTCTGGGTAGCCATCCCTGGGTTTCTAGCGAGGAAGTGGTAGCTCAGCCTCATTGCCAGATAGATGGGAAAGCCACCAAGCTGGTTCCTGTCCCCGGGGCGGCCTGGTTCCTTTTTCAAAGGTAACTGAAACTGCCACCTGTTTGGTACATTTTTTCTTTTCTTGGAGGAAAAATGTTAATCCCAAAGATAAGAAGTGGCATATGCTCACTGCAAAGACAAAAAAGACTCAGATGATTATAAAGTGATTATAAAGTAAACTCATAATCTGCCTGCCACCCTGTCTTCTAGGAAAGACCTCTTGGCACCTAGAAAAGGACACACGTACTTAAAATTTTACCCTCACATCACACGTTTTCTTCCATAGCATGCTCATCTGGCCCCATCAGCACATACAGACTGAGCTACCCTTTTTTTTTTTAATTTTTTTAATTTTTTTTATTTTTTTACTTATGATAGTCAGAGAGCGAGAGAGAGAGAGGCAGAGACACAGGCAGAGGGAGAAGCAGGCTCCATGCACCGGGAGCCCGATGTGGGATTTGATCCCGGGTCTCCAGGATCGCGCCCTGGGCCAAAGGCAGGCGCCAAACCGCTGCGCCACCCAGGGATCCCTCTGGCTAAAGTCTTTAGCTATTTCATACCCTCCCCTCTTCTCAAAGCTGCTAGAGCAGGTTTGGTCTCTCTTCCCCTAGTATAAGGCCAGGGACCCCGTGTCTGCCTGCTGAGGCGGTACCGACCCTGGGTGTGCGCAGCAGACCCGGGGAGAGTCACACAGGAGCCCTCCAGGAAAGGGCATGTGGGGCCAACGTGGGATGGAAGGGTGACACAGCAGCCACATGCATCCCAAGTCTGTCTGTCCCTCCATACACAGCCCACCAGAGCCACCATGTCCTCTCACCTGAAGGATCACAGCGGCCTCCTGACCACTCCACCTGCTGCCCCTCGAGCCCCCTACCCTCGAAACCATCTGCCACGCAGCAAGAGAAGTCACCTTTGAAGAGCACCAATCACACCACATCACTCTCTGCCCAACACTGTACCACGATTTCCTGTTCTCACTTCTTTTTTAAAGATCTTATTGATTTATTCATGAGACACACCGAAAGGCAGAGACACAGGCAGAGGGAGAGGCAGGCTCCATGCAGGGAGCGCGATGCAGAACTCGATCCAGGACCTGGGATCTGGGATCATGCCCTGAGCCAAAGGCAGACGCTCAGACACCCAGGCGCCCTGAGCAACCCAGGCGCCCCTCCTGTTCTCACTTAAAGTCCAAGCCTCTGGGATCCCTGGGTGGCGCAGCGGTTTGGCGCCTGCCTTTGGCCCAGGGCGCGATCCTGGAGACCCGGGATCGAATCCCACATCGGGCTTCCGGTGCATGGAGCCTGCTTCTCCCTCTGCCTGTGTCTCTGCCTCTCTCTCTCTCTCTGTGACTATCATAAATAAATAAAAATTAAAAAAAAAAAAGTCCAAGCCTCTGACTGGGGCCGCTGGGGCTCCCCGGGGGGATTTGTGTCTTCCTTGCCCCTGACCCGGCCACTCTAGGACCCTCACTGTCTAGCACCTGCTAAGCCCTGCTAGGAGGTGCTGAGGGGTCATGGTCAAAAGCACACTGCAGCTTGGTGGTCTGGGCTGGACCCGCACTTGACCGCAGGTCACCCATGTCCTCCCCTTATGATGGGGGAAGGACCTCCCCCCAGAAAGGCACCCTGAGCGTCAAATGACAGTACGCATGCTGCACACTCAGGCGATGTATGCACACAGAAATTTGTTCAGGAATGTTCACGGCGGCACGTTCATCGGAGCCAAAAGGTGGAAACAACTGAAATGGCCACCGACAAACAGATAAACAGAACGTGGGACATCCACCCAATGGGATTACGAGTCAGCCACAAGCAGGAGTGAAGCACCGACACAGGGTCCCGCGTGCGTGAACCTTAAGGATATTCTGCTAATCGAGAGAAGCCGGACACAAAAGACCAGGTACTCTAGGAGTCCATCCATATGAAAGGCTGCGACAGGCAGCTCTACAGAGACGGGAGGATCGGCTGTCGCTGAGGGCCCGGGAGGGACAGCACCTAAAGGCTGGGTCTCATTCTGAAGCGACGGAAATGTTCTGAAGCTGCCCGTGGTGATGGTTGCACCTGCCTGTGAATATGCTACAAACCACTGAGCTGTACCCTTTGCATGGATGTAGTTTATGCAGATTAAATGGGCTAAATGTGAATTATAACTCAACGAAGCTGTTAAAAAAATGTCTCAGGCAGGTGCTCCATCAACATTAGGCCTCTGTCTATGCTCGGCCCTCCATCCCCACATCAGATCTCCACACATCGGAGCAGGTAGCTCCTTCCTATCATTCTGGTTCCAGCATGAGTGCCACCTCCTCCGAGGAGCCCTCTCTGACTGCCTGATGCAGCCCTCTGGCCCTGCTTCGAGCCTCTCCATCGCTTTACCCTGCTCACCTCCCTCTCTCTGCCTTATTCACTGTTGCATCTCCAACTCCAGCAGAGTGCAGGCCCCCAGGTATACTGGTCCGTACTGGTTGAAAAATAAACAAGCAAGCAAAGCCAGACCCCTCCGGCTACCCAGCTTCCTACCTTCAGAGTTTGGGCTGAGCTCACAGCTTCCGGGGTCTTGTTGAAGACGTCTTCAGAGCATGTTCTGGTCCCTTCTTTACTCTATGCAGATGCTCTGGGTTCAAGCCTCAGCTCCGTGGAGAGGTGGACAGATGTGCTTCCAGCCCAAGCAGGGCAGCTCCTGTGGTGCACAGCCTGTAGGGAAGGAAGGGCAGGCTCAAGCAGGTGTGTTGGAACAAATGCATCGGTCAATCTTCCTGACTTCAGTCTCTGCATCTATAAAATGGGTTAATTCCACCGGCCTCATGGGTGGGGGATTAAGAGAGATGTTCTCAGGGATCCCTGGGTGGTTCAGTGGTTTAGTGCCTGCCTTCGGCCCAGGGCGTGATCCTGGGTCCCAGGATTGAGCCCCACATCGGGCTCCCTGCATGGAGCCTGCTTCTCCCTCTCCCTGTCTCTCTGCCTCTCTCAGTCTGTCTCTCATGAATAAATAAATAAAATCTTTAAAAATAAAAAAAATAAAAAGAGATTTCTCGGGATGCCTGGGTGGCTCAGTCGGTTGAGCGTCTGCCTTCGGCTCAGGTCACAATCTCAGGGTCCTGGGATCGAGCCCACCTGGGCTCCCTGCTCAGTGGGGAGCCTGCGTCCCCCTCTCCCTCTGCCCCTTCCCCCCTCCTGTGTGCACGTGCTCTCTATCTCTAATAAATAATTATTATTATATAAAGATAAATAATTATCTAATAAATAAATAAAGATCTTAAAAAAAAAAAAAGGTATGGTCTCCCCACCCACAGTAAGGGCTCCTTGTGACAGTGGGCTGGGCACTCACCCGCCGTAGCCAGGGGCTCTAGCCTCAGACTCCCCCACTCCGGGTTGGGAACCCCGAATCAGGACGGGCCTCTACGTTTTTTCTGTTTCAACATAACTTCACGAGAAACGTTTAACATAAACACAAAGTGTTGGCTATCTTCTGATTAAGATTTCCTTCCCAATAGAGGGAGGCAGATATTTAAGGCATATTAAGGCTCAAACGATTTAGAAGTGTTTCATTGTTGTTTTATTAGCTCTTTAAATAATATACTGAGCAGAACTCCGAAGGCTGCTGGGGGCAGGACGGGTCACGTCTTTAGGTGCGCCGGGCCAGGCCTGGCTTCGCTCTTCACAGACATCATCTCACTTTGTCCTCAAAACACCTCTCAAAGTAGATTATCTCCCATCACTCCCATTTTGTGGGCAGAAGTGGGAGCTTAGAGGGGTTAAGTAACTTGCCCAAGCTCACACAGCCAGGAAGGGGAAGAGCTGGGTCTCTTCGAGAAACAGAAGCCCCCTGCTCCAAGCTAGGGCACTCTGGGGGCAGGACAGCCCCCTATCAGGGTGACAGAGGAGAGTCCAGTCTGCGGTGGGGGGGGGGGGACGGGACTTAGTTCTACTGAACAGTACTCTGCAAACTCTGTTCCTCAGAGGCCTGGGGCTACCCAGAAGGGCCTGAGGGGCTGCCATGGGACAAACCAGAGTCTGGGGGCAGCTCTAGGCCCTCCCTCTGATTTCACAAAGCGGCAGTCTTCCAACAACAGGAGAGAGGAACTTCGGGGGCGTGGTGGGGGGCAGAGGGGGCGCCAGAGGGGGATCTGAAGATCTGAGGCAGAACCGGGGACCCAGGACGCTTTCTGCTTCAAGGTTTGCCCGACAGACTCGGGCATCCTTCCTTCTAGCCCAGAGTGCTGGGAGTCCTGACCCCACACCTCAGGGCATGACAAGGCCCCTCAGAGGCCACTTTGCATCTGCTCTGGGCACAGCTCCAAGACAACAGCCACACCTGGGGCCCCTGCACGGAAAGTTCTCCAGCCTGGTCTCCCCTGGGACCAGAGTGCAGTGAGAGGGCACCAGGCAGGTGCTGTCCTGAGAAACCAGCACCAAGGAGGGAAGCAGGCAGGTGGTGGAGGAGGGCTGGGAGGGTAGAGCTGCCGAGTCCAAGCTTGCGCGAGGTCACCAAGCACAGAGGACCCTTCTGGAACTCAGTGCCGATCACTTCCCCAGAGTAAGCGCCCAGTGCCCTTCAGAACCTGTCCCCACCCCCACCTGACACACATGCCCTGCAGGTCCCCTAGGCCCCACTTCCTCATTGGAGGCCCTATACCTGGTATACCAGGCTCCACCTATCTCCACCTGCAATGCCAGGTGAAATGTCACCTCTTCCTGGAAGAGGTGCCTCTGCCATCACCACCAGACAAAATCAATCACTTTCTCACCTGCCTCCTCCAGCATACTGCAGACATCTGCCTGTGTGTAGGTGTCCCCGACCCCATCAGCATCCAGGCTGGAACAGTTAACTCCTACCAGTGGCTACCAGGATGGGAGGCAGGTGAGATGGTGGGGACAGGCATGGCTGCCCCACAACAAAAATCATCTCCCGCCATCCTGCACTCAGCCCAGGAAGTGAGTGGCCCACTCTGGACAGCTCCACGAAGCACCCTCTGCCCTGCTGTGGCTCTGTGACCAGAGTGGATCCTGCCCCAGGACGAGCCCCACTAGACCTCCTGTCCCCTTTCCCCAGCACAGCCCAGACTCCCCAGCCCACCCTCCCATCCTGAAGCCATAGTGCCCTGCCTGGGCTTCCTCAGCCTAGGACCCTGCTGTGTTGCTGGCATCTGTGCTGATGTCATGACAGAAAGAAGGGCAGACACGACCTCGGGCTGTAGGACTGGGGTGACTGGTCTGGCCCCGGGGCACTTCTGGGAGCCACCAGGAAAAGTGGCCGGGCCCTGAGAGCAGAGGCGAGGCCGCGCCTCCTCGGGGAGCAGCGTGGTGCCTGAGGGCTATTTTCACCATCTTCATGGGCAATGCCGAGTCCTGGCCTGTGGGCAGTTTTACCCCCTGGCCTCGCCTCAGTCTCCTTCTCTATTAAGCAAGGGAGCTGGACAAGGTGATGGCCCAGCTTTGACACCCACTAAGCCCACACGGTTAGTACGAAACACCACTTTCCACAGCCCCTACTCCTGAGGCTGCCCCCAACTTGTGCAGAAATGGTGAATGGTGGGCAGGTGTACCAGAAGCCCCGCTCCTTCTTCGGGGTGGCGAGGGGCAGAGGGTAGAGTTGGTGGTGTGGGGCGGGGGGGGGGCGGTGCAGAACCCAAGTCTAGGACATACAGGAACCCAGACAGAAAGTGCTGGAGCTCTGGGAGCACCCCGTCCAACGCATATCTCCCACGCCCCAGAAATGCTTGCTCGCTGCAGAGGAAATTGTGACATCCTGGGACAAGGCTTCCTCCTGGCCCACAGTCACATCCGCTGCTCTGTCTGAGATCCCGGGGCTGCCGCAGCACCCAGGCTGTGGGCCAGGGTGGGGGGATTTGGGCAGCGTCTGAGCACCTGCCCCACCCAGCAAAGCCACTGCCACCTGCCCAAGCTGGATCCTGGCCTCACTGGGGCCTTCCTCACAGAAGGGCCTTCACAGCCCCAGCCCAGGGTCTCTGGGCCTTAGGATGGGGTCCACCGTGGGGTGGGGGCGGGGCAGAGCCAAAGAAAAAGTGAAGTGCAGAGTTCCAATCATCCCGAGGCACCACGGGTTGACACATCCGTAACCCCCACCGCTCCCACCACCAGTGGAGTGACCCAGCTACCAGCAGCCAGGATCACACATGGGACCAAAATGCACTCAGAAGGCACTCACCGATGCCACCAGAGTCTGGTCTCCCCCCGAGGGGGGCTGGGCACTGCCAGCTAAGCCCTATCCCGACAGACAGCCAGGGCAGGCAAGGCCTCGGCCAGAGAGCCTCCCGTGTCAGAGCTCTAGCCGTGGTGCTCCGGCAGGGTGCTGGAGGCGGCCCCCACCCAAGCCCACGTGGGCCCACCGTCCCCTAACCTGCCCCCAGGCGCAGTTCCATCTGTGCCCAGGAGTCTGGCTCAGGCCCCTTCCCTCCTCCCCACCTGCGCACCATGATGCACGCCAGCAGGCTTCTGGGGGCTTCCCTGGTCATCTTGCTGACGGTGGATGGCTGGCTCCACAGTCCCCAGGCTCTGAGGACCTCAAGAACCAGGGCAGGGAGCGAGCTGCAGCTCCAGACGGAAGCTGACGGGCTCCTGACATCAGGGCTTAGCCTGTGTGGCCAGAAGTGGGGACAAAGGGAAGGAAGGGGCCCTGGGCGGAGGGATAACAAGCATCCCCTCCAGCAGGGGAAAGACGCAGACCACTACTGATCACTGGATGCGGTCAGGAAGTTAGGGGGCCTCCTGCAGAGACAGGCGCAGGTCCCCAGAAGCGAAGAGATAAAGCCCCCGCCACCTGGCCTGGGCTTGGAGCTGAGGGGTGATAGGCAGTCCGGAGGGAAGGGAGGCAGGCGGCCTGGGGCCGCTGGGAACCTGTCTGTCCCCCGATGAATCACAGGATGACAGGGTGACAGCCAGGAGCAAGGAAGTGGCCTCTCTCCCCTGCTTCCCTGCCACAGAAACTGAAACCGACAGTCCCTGCCCGCAGCCTTCTGGGAACCAGGGCGTTTTTTAGAAAGCTGCAGAGGAAGCTGGCCCTCGCCCACTGTGTAACCCCCAGCCAAACCCGGGGTTCTGCTGACCTCAGGGAAGTTGCTTCAGCACCCCTCGAGACCCGGAAGGAGCAGCTTATGTAAAGGCTGTCACCTAACCCGGTCTGCCTACCCGTGTCCCAGTGGCCAGTGACTCACCGACACCTCCCTGCGCTGCCAAGAGCGGGCCGGAGCAAAGGGCAGAGGAGTGGGGAAGACGCTGGGGGGCCGGGACAGGACGCAGGAAGACGGGATGCGGGGAAAGGGGGTATGGTGGCCCCCTCGAGACCACGAGCTCAGACTTGCTCACTGGTTACAGGGAGCTGCCCCCCACTCCCAGGGAGGACCCACTCCCCCAGGGCTGCGAGCACCCAACTCCCCCAGGGCTGCGAGCACCCACTCCCCCAGGGCTGCGAGCACCCACTCCCCTAGGGCTGCACCCACCCACTCCCCAGGGCTGCACCCACTCCCTCAGGACTGCACCCACCCACTCCCCCAGAGCCCCAAGACCGCAGCACAGACTGCATTGCTTCTTTAGCCCAGCTGGCCCCAATGGAGAGGAAAACTGAAAGCTCCTGTGGGTTTGCACCCCTCCCACAGGGAGAGGTCCTACTTAGAGGGTCCTTGCCCCAGAGCCCCTATGTCTCCACCCCCCACACCTTTCTGGGCTTTGCTGGAACTCAGAAGATAAACAAGGGGGAGAGGGGCACAGGCTCAGGGCTTAACCACCCACCAGCTTCGCCACAGCAGACCCCAGGTTCTGGACTCCCTGTGACCCAGTTAGGGCGGCTTGGGTGGCACAGCCGACCACAGACACGGGAAGTGGGTGCTGGGCTCCAAGTCCAGGGTCTGAGCACACGGGAGTGGGGAGGGGGAATTAGGTTCTTGGAGTGGTGCACACCCCAACACCCCTTTGTACCACCATCAGGCTTTCTCAGGACCACACATCAGTGGGGCGGGCAGAGAGGTGAACACCTCCTTGTGGGGAGCCCTGCGTCCAGGAAGCTGGCTGAGCTGGGATGTAGCAGCTGCTGGCAATATACCTCGGCAGGCAGCACTAAATGCCACCGGGTGTCCCCAGCTGGACACAGTGCTGGAACCCGCCCTGCTGGGGGCCCTCCCAGAGAGACCCTCCAAAACTTTCTGGTCTCCAGAAACTGCTCATAGAAGCACGCAAGGCAGGGATGCAGGTGCCTTTCGACAGCTGAACAGGGATGCAGGTGCCTTTCGACACCCCAGGAAAGCAGCAGCTCTCAGAGCCTGGGGGTGCCCTGTGGCTTAGGAAAGGGAGCCCAGGCTCTTCTGGAAGGTGACACGTTCTGTCCCAGTTCTGCTGCTCCCTGAGCATCACCATGAAGGGGAGGAATCAGAAATGGCACAGGGGGTCCAGAAGGCCCTGGTCCTTTCTGAGCCAGACACCAGGGCACAGGGGGCTTCCCGCAGAGGGAGCATGCACCACCAGGTGCCAAGTTGACCTGAACTCAGTACAAACTGGCTTTGCTCCAAACATGCAAGAGGATTTGCCTCTATTAGGATCCTGAGGTACTGGGAATTGGTTTTTGTTGTGTTTCCCCCCACCCAAGTTTATTTATTCACTTTGTAATGTCTGTACCCAACATGGGGCTGGAACTCACAACCCTGAGATCAAGAGCCGGGTGCTCCTTCAACTGAGCCAACTGGGCACCCCTGGGAACTGGGTTTTCCCTGGTCCTTGCCACTGGCAGAGGCCTAGCTCAGTGGTTAGGGGAAGGATGGGGTTCAACATGGGCTGGGGAGCAGGGGAGGCCTGCTTCACTCCTGCTGGAAGTTCCCCAACACTGAGGAGTGACAGGCTGTTTCCAGACACACCCACCCTCAGTACAGCCAGGCTCTGACTTGGGCTTGCAAGGGTGGGGCCCACCTAATTTCCACCCGGCTCCTTGTGGCCTAGCTCTACACAGTAAAAACACTGTCCAGGGTGCCTGGGTGGCTCAGCGGTTGAGCTGTTGAGCGTCTGCTTCCGGCTCAGGGGCGTGATCCTAAGGTCCTGGGATCAAGTCCTGTATCAGGCTCCCTGCAGGGATCTGCTTCTCCCTCTGTCTGTGTCTCTGTCTCTCTCTGTGTTCCTCAGGAATAAATAAAGCCAATAAATAATAATAATAATAATAATAATAATAATAATAATAATAATAATAAACCACTGTCCAGCTGAAGGAGACAGGGTCTTGGGTCCAGCCCTAAATGCTGTGACCTCTTCGGCAAGACACTTAACATCTCTGTTTACACAGAAGATGCTAAGTAGCCCCCAGGAATCTGAAATCTAGGTGGCTTCGTCACCATTAGCTGGGGCTCAGCCTGGGTGCACAAGCAGCCAAGGCACAAGGGCTTACCATAGCTTATGGAGAGGGAAGCACCTGGCCCAGGTCACCCAGCCAGAAGTCAGGCCCTGGGCTGCCCTGGGTCCCTCATTTTGAGACACTCAGGCTGGGGCTCTGGGTGCCCCTCACATCCTAAAGCCCAGGCTGGCCCCACAGCTGGGAAGGAGCATGCCAGGCAAACAATTTTCAGCTTGTAAACAGTCATTAAAGAGCTAATAAACCTGACTTCCCAGAACCCTGCCCTGGAGCTTGCTGCTTCCCCAAAAGAGGCTGGCCCCAGCCCCAAGTGCTACAGGGCACTTGGACATGGGCCATTCGGGCCATTCAGACTGGGGGTGCAGGGCTTTGTAAATCCCTACTCACCGCAGCCCCCCACCTCTCTTTGGGACAACGTGGATTCTCTCGTTGAGGAGTGAGGAGGGCTGCGGGGCAGGGAAGGGGGGAGACAACAAAGATAGGACTCAAAACCTGGTTTGGCCACTTACCTGCTGGGAGACTTTGGGCAAGTTACCACTTCTGAGCCTCGGTTTCCTCTACTGTGAAATGGGGTGATGTGCCCCCACCCCTGAGGATCCAGCAGAGATGACATGAGCTTACGAATGAACAGGGCCTGGCACACAATCACCGGCCACTAACTGGTAGCTGCTATTCCTGGCTGACCGCTGCTCACTTAGTCTCTGTATCTGGGCTAAGAGCCCCGGAAGTAACAGCTCTCTATTTAACAGCTGGGGGAAATTGAGGCTCAGACCAGTCAAGTCACCTGTCCCAAGTCCCATTGTTAGGGGGTGGTGGTGGTGCTTCCTGCCACCCTGGAACTGGTGAGGCAAAGCGGCCAAAAAAATGGGCGTGGGGTGGCGACCAAGGTGCTGGGGGGTGGGGGTGGAGTTTAGGTGTGGGCTTCTGAGACTCATGAGCTCCTCCCAGTCCCCTAGGCAGAAATGACATCACCTGGCACTTAGGCAGCACTACTTCTTCTCAGCTTATCAAAGGGCTTTCTCAAACATTCTCTCACGCTGTGCTGTCCGTATCTCATCATCACCGGTATCTGACAAGGTGAGAGCAAGGGCTCAGGCCGGGTTTCAGCTCCAAGTCCTGCTCTTGCCCCATCCCACAGTGAGGTCCCCCACCTCCTGTTCCAGGCCTCCTGGAGGCCATCCCGGAGGCCTGACCTGGGGAGGGCCGGCTGGAGAGGGAAGAGGTGCTTCTTGCTGGATGTCAGGGGAGAGACCACCTCGGATGCTCTTGGCTCGGGCTCTAGGGCCATGCGTACATGGGAGGCAGGAGAGAACCAAGGCTCTGAATGGCTTACCCTGTTCCTGGCCCCAAGAGTCTGGCCAGAGGGAGCAGAGCTGAGGGTCACTGCCTCCGTGACCCCCCTCACCCCTCATCAGGACACACGTACAGGCAGACAGGGAAAACCCTGGGCTGGGAGAAGCCAGCAGATCCTGTCCTGAGGCTCTACTCCCACATCTGAGCCCCCTCAGCCTCTGTGGGGCAGAGCCCCCCCCCCCGCCCACCCCAGACCAGCCACCTGGACAGATAACTGTTGCACTGCTCTTCCTCAGTATGCTCTCAGCTAGTCCCCCCAACACCCATGAGGCAGGACCCCGTCCTCACCACGAGCCTGTGCCAAGGACACAAGGATACGCTCCTAACGGCAGCCACGATGCCATTACCCTGTCAGCTCCGATCTCAGGACTTCACAGGCATCACCTCACAGCAAGCCATCCAGTGGACTGCTGCTGCCCCGCGGTACAGCCAAGGAGACTGAGGCACGGACTACAAGTGACCCTCATTCCACTGCCCACTAGCTCAGAGGCCACCGCAGCTGCCAGCTTCTGGGCCTCGCTTCTTGGCTCCCCATGCTGGGAATCACCCACCAAAGGTCCTCCCACCGTCCTGGCCAGCATCCCTGATGGGTGCTGCCCACTTAGCTCCAACCACCCCCCTGCACCCCACGCCTACAACAGGCCCCTGGTAGCTTTTGAATTGGCAACAAATGATTTATGTCTGGGTCCCCAGATAAGTTTACACAATGACGGAATGTGGACACTGTGGCTCTCATACTTCCCTGAAGATGATGAATTTTTCTTTACACTCAGCTCTAACTTCCATAGGGAAGCAACAGTGATTTTATGGGCTGTGTGGGAAAAAGCCTTATTTTCCCCCAGGGCCGGGGCAGGTGGGGCGACTCCTTCCAGCCTGTATCCTGGTCACCTCCCCAACCTAGCCACCACGTGAGAGGTTAGCCTGCACTCCCAGCCGGCGCTGTCAGTCCTCCCCCAGCTTGGCTCGGCTGATAGGAAACTGGGAGATGTGTGAGCTCACCCTGGAAATCCCCCCGGGGGGCCGGGACAACACCGAAGGCTAGCTACTCCAAAGTGGGTGATACAGACCCGGGGCGGGGGGGCGGGGACAGGGAGGAGGCAGCCCAGAGAGGACCTCTCTCCAGATGCTGCACCCCGGGACAGGTGAGAGGCCGGGGCCACCCCAATCCTGCCCCTGCCCATCCTGAACCAGAGAGAAGTGCCAGGTAGCTCATTCAAGTCACCTGTTTTTGTTCTGTTTTGTTTTTAAGTCTTATTTAGGTAGTCGGTACACCCAATGTGGGGCTCAAACTTATGACCCCAAGATTGAGTCCCATGCCCTCCCAACTGAGCCAGCCAGGCACCCTCATTCAAGTCACCTGGACAGGAACAGGTACGTGCATGCACAGACACGCCCCCTTGACTCCTTCCTGCTCTTACCTGCTGTTCCATCTGACATGGTTTATGGCAAGTTGACAGAAACCCTGTGAAGAGCTGTGGCCACCAGTAAAAACATCACCACTGATGAAGAGCCAGCCTCAGACCCCAGCGGCCTCCGTGATGTATCTGCAGTGTGATTAATCCCTCCTCTGAGAGGAACAGAGGTCCCCGCTCAGGCAGTGTGTGTGTCTCACACCACATACAGCCATGGTGCGCAAATGAGCCAACCAGACAGGAGCCAGCTGGTGGCTTTCCAGCAGGGAGGCACAATGTTTTAGGGCTGGGCCTGGGAGCCAGGGCCCAGGTTCCATATCAGGCTCTGCTGCTTAATTCCTGACCGGCTTGGTGCTAGTCTTGAGTGTGGTTTTGTGCCATGAGAAACACACTAAAGATAGAAGTCACTGTTGCAGTTTGTGGTTCAACAAAAAGAGGGGAGTGCCACTCCAGCCCTTTAAACTTAAAAGCAGGGACACCTGGGTGGCTCAGTGGTTGAGGGTCTGTGTGCCTTTGCTTCCGATCGTGATCCCGGGGTCCTAGGATCAAGTCCCCCATCAGGCTCCTTGCATGGAGGCTGCTTCTCCCTCTGCCTGTGTCTCTGCCTCTCTCTCATGAATAAATAAATAAAATCTTTAAAAAAATAAACTTAAAAGCAAACAAAAACAAAAACACCAACCAGAAACTGCCACCTGCCAGAGTTCCCAGGCCAGGAGGCCAGGGTACAGAAGTGAACAGGATGGGGGCAATGGACACTGTCAGAAAACAGGAAGGGGGAGCAGTGGGTGGTCTGGGCTCCTGGGCACAGACAGCTGCTTCATTCCATCTCACCTTTCTAGAACAGCCCTCCACCGCCATCCCCTGAGAATTGGACCAACACTTAAACCGGAGTTGTCCCTACTGGGGTTCCCCAGGGCCTAGCACTTGGCTAACACCAGGAGCAGGGGGTGCCTCGCTCTGCCAGCAGTGGGGCCCACCGTGGGGGTTCTTGTCTAACCCTGGTTTCCCACAGTCACAGAGGACTTTTTTTTTTTTTTTTGGCAAGAGAGAAGCAGATCCGGGAGCTACAAGGAATTAGAAGCCTGAGTCCTTGAATGTTATTTTCCTGGTGTCCATAACTGGAAGACTCAGGTGTCAGTTTAGAAGGGAAGATTCCAGCAGGTCACATGGTGTCAGGCATCCATGCCTGTCTCAGCAATCCAGCTTTGGGAAAATCTTTGAGAACAGAGCCTCCCCCTCCTCCTCCCCAACCTGCCCAGGGGATATTTGAGCTTGAGGGCTGCCCTGGCTCACCCTGTATGGGAGGCTGTGGTAGGGGTGAAGCACTTCGGGGCTGAGCTGTGAGAGAGCCCTGTTCCCAGCCCCTGGGACTCAGCTCCTCCCCCACAGCACCCAGACCTGCTTCCTGCAGAGCCTGTGGTGTGAACAGGGACGAGGCAGGTTTATGGCACCAAAGGAATCCTATTGCTAGAGGAATAACTGCCCTCACACCTCTCATCTTACTGAAGTTTATTTTGTTCCTCCCCGAACCCCGGGGGGGAACTGAGGCAAGCAGGGGAAGTCAATGAGAAGTAATTTGATGGAGCAGGTGCTGCTCCTGGGTCTTTGAACTTCGGCACGGCGCTGACACTTTGAGCCGGGTAAATTCTTTGTGGCGAGATGCTGTCCTGGTTTTAGCCGCATCCCTGGCCTGTACCCACTGGATGCCAACAACAACCACACTCACTTCCTTCTCCTGAGTTGTCCCAACCAAAATGGCTCCAGACATGGTCAAATATCTCCTGGCACCAAAAATCAGTCCCCTGCTTGAGAACCACTGCTCTCAAACAAGTTTCGCTCTCCCCTCCCTCTTCCCTCCACCCTACCCACAGAGTGACAGGAACACAGCTGCTGGGCTCATCCTTTTCCCAGCCAATGTCACCACCATGGGGTCCTCAATCTAGCCATTTGGGAACCGGCAGCCAGGGCAGGGCACGTGTGGGGTCATTAGGCGAGCCTTCCCCTCCTCAGACACACCCTCGCAGGAGCTCCAACCCTTCTGCTTTCCCCCTTAGGCTTTCCAGCCGGTTAGGCAGGGGCCGAGACCTGGGAGGCCTGGGGTGCCCCTCCGTCCCGGGACGGGAGGGAGGAGATGCCTCTCCGACTGCACCTCTTCTACCCCTAACCCAACCCCAGGCTCCCCGGAGGGGGCCAACCTTCCCAAGCCCCTCAGTCCAGAAGTCAGGACCTCTGGGTCCAGCTTCTGAGCTCCGATCTGGCCTCGCCGGGACCCAGCTCCGCACCTGTTCCCACCCCGGCGACGCTGAAAGCACAAACCTCGCCCCGAGGAGAAAGGGGAGGGAAGGGTTTGGGTGCCAGGCGCTTCTCGGCAGGGAGGAGGGCGGGACGGCGCGCTCCCGTCCCCGGCCAGTCCCGGCTCCCTCCCGGGGCCTTAACTTCTGCCCAAACGCGTGCCCCCCACCTCGGGCGGCCCGTGGCCCAGGGACCCGTTCGGCGTCCTGTGCCAGCCGAGCCCCGGAGACCGGCAGACCCGGTCCGGCGGCCCCGACTCTGGCCTCCGGCGCGGCCCACGTGGGGCCCGAGCGCTGCGCAGGGCGGCCCCCCCGGGACCGTGCACCGCCGCCCCGGGCGAGGCTCGGGCCCGACCCCGCGGACCCCCAAGGCGCCTGCGGCCGGGCCGCCGCGTGCCGGCTCCGCCCTTCGCCCCGCGCTCACCTCCCTGCGGCCCCGCGGCCCCGGGACGCAGCTCCGAGCGGCGCCGGCCGGCGGCTGGGCGGTGGCTCCTGGGGGCCGGGCCCCGGCGCTCCGCCTCTTCCCTACCTGCGCGCGGGCGGCGGGGGCGGGGCCTGGGAGGGGGCGGGGCCCGAGACGGGCGCCCGGAGCCTGGGATGGGGCGGGGCCTGGGAGGGGCGGGGCCGAGCGCCACGGGGGGCCTGAGAGGGGCGGGGCCTGGGACGGGCGCCCCGGAGCCTGGGAGGGGGCGGGGCCTTAGAGGGGCGGGGCCGAGCGCCACAGGGGCGGGGCCTGGGAGGGGGCGGGGCCGCGGCCTGGGAGGCCGGGCCCCGGCTCAGGTCACTGCGGGACGCTGCGGCCAGCCCCGCGGCGCCAGGGACTTGCTCCGGTCGCTGGGTGCTCCGCCCCTTGGGGTGGGGGTCCCCCCTGGGCAGAGCCCAGTTTTCCGCCCGAGCTAGTCTCTTCCGGGCGCCGGCCTCTCCTCCCCCGACAAAGCGCATGATCTAGGTCTGACCTGCCATCACGTCACCACCTCCACCCCCATCCCCGCCCCGAGAAAAGTCACTCCCACGACGACCACCTCCCACCCACCCGTCCCTCCAGCGCCCTCACTCTAAGGCCAAGTGGGCCTGTTCCTCCAACCTTTAGCCCCTTACCTTTTCCTTGAAACACATTTGGAGCATCTCGATTACTCCAAATCCCCGGGCAGCTCCCGCCTCCGGGAAGCCTCTGATCTCGGGCCTCCTCCTCCTCCTCCTCCTCATCCTCCCCGGGGGTGGAGGCGCCCTCCTGGGCCCAGTCTTGCTCAACTTCCCCGCCCGGGGCACCAGTGCTGGTCCCTGGCAGAGGCCCTCTCTGGGTGCCTGTGTGGGTGGCCGGGGTGTCTGGAGGAGTCCTAGGAATCTCCCTTAAGGCCCACCCAGTGGAAACTCGCCTGGTCTCTGGCCCCCAGACGAAACCTTGACTCACACCAGGCGCCTGCAGCAGGAGAGGAAGGTGCTCAGGATCTGGAGATTTGGCGGGGCCAGGCTCTAGCCCCTTCGAGCCTGTTCTTAATTTGCAAAGTAGCAAAGCCTGCCTGGCCTTCTCACGTGGTTGGCAGTGGGATGCAGCAAACAGAAGCTGCGAAAGGCTGCACCACCCCGGTGTTAACTAGTGTTAAGCCGTGGGGGCCTACAGCCAGAAGACCTAAGTTCAGATCCTGGTCCTGCTCTCTGTGTGGCCTTGGACAAATCCTGCAACCTTCCTGAGCTTCCGCTTCCTCCTCTGTAAATGGGAGTCATGCTAGGCCCTGCTTCTTGCAAGAAGCCCCTTAAAGGGCACCTGGCTCGAGCTAACTGCTGGCAGCTGTATTGTTACTATTGATACCACTGTTCCTATTGACACACTAGGACCCGGTTTCTCATCAATTCTAAGCCAGTTTCTACTCTCTCTCAGCCCAGAGAAGCTGGCCTCCCATTCCTGATCTCTCCTGATCTCTCTGTGGCCCAGGCTCTCCCTAGCTCAGGGGCAACCCTGGGGCCAGGACTTAGCATTGCTCTCCCTCGCCCCCAGGGCACCCACATTTGTGGGGACCCACCTGCAACAGCCCTGTGGCCAGGGCCAAAATTGGTGAACTTCCTCCTCCTAAAGGCATCAACAAGACCGGCCCAATTCCCTCCAGGGTGGGTGTGGGCTGGGTGGGTGCCAGGTGTGGTGTGCCAGCTAACCCCCTGCTGACACTGGGCCTCTCCGTCCTTCTGCCCTCCGGGCCCCTTGGGCGGGGTTTGGCTACCCAGGTGGACCCTTCTTCCTCCTCAGCAGCAAGAGGACATGGCCTAACCTCCTTCTTCGGCCTAGACAAGACTGTGGCTGGGGAGCTGAGAGGAACTCCAAGGTCTGCAGGCCCCTTTCTCAGCCCTCGATGCTCTTATCTCCCCAGTCCACCTTTTGCCTGGCCTGCCTGGAGGAGCAGAGTTTGACGAGAGACTGTGTTATGGGGAGTAGGAGGGGGAGGGGGTTTGGACCTGTGGAACCAGAATCAAGCAGTCCTATTGGCCTCAGGGGACAGCCAAGACCCTGGCCCTTCACAGAGCTCCTGAGTGGGATGGGAGTGGGAGGGTTAAAAAGTGGAAAGAGGAGGAGGGGCTCCTGACTGCTGGGGACTACTCAGAGGAAGGCATTCCTCCTCCTCCCCATCCCCCAGGCCTTGGGAGTGGGGAGTGAGCCAAAGCTGGAGGGTTGCTCCCCAGTAGCAAATGCAAGGACCATTTATCATGCACCCACCACATCCCTGGGGGGGCTGTGAGCACCGATAGGAACAAAACCAGGGCCTGTGCTCCAAGAGCTGGTGCTCAGTAGGGAGGTGGAAGTACACAGGTACTATGACAGGAAGGACGAGGGCAGCCTGATTGTGGGGCCCTAATGTGTTATCTCAACTCTTGTGATAAGTCCAGGAGTGGTACCACTATGATCATCTCCATTTTAGGGATGAGAAGACTGAGGCAGAGGGAGATTAAGTGGAGCAGCTGGGGCTTGAGCCAAGTCACGATCTGACTTTAGATTCTAGCAAAGGCTCCTGAGCCATGTGGGCTGTCCTGGAACGCGGAGGCTAACTGTAGGAGCCCCCAGGAGGAGAGGGACTCGTGGTGATGACTGATGTCAGGGATTTGTCTCATGGAAACACAGCAGGCTGCCCAGTGATGTAGGTGCAGGGGTGCTGATCATGGCCTTGGCTGCAACCACAGACACCTGCGCAGGGGGAGGGCGGGAGGGCATCAAATAGACCAGGGGTATAGTTTGCAGTAATGGTGCACAGCTGTTAAAAGCAGTTAGGCAACATTGTGTGCTGCTGTGGAATACATCCAGGATACATTAAGTGAAAAAGAGCAAAGTGCATGTTGAGTATAACTCCATTCACCTACTTTTTTTTTTTTTAAGATATTTATTTATTCATGAGAGACACAGAGAGAAGGCAGAGACATAGGCAGAGGGAGAAGCAGTCTCCCAGCAGGGACTGGATCCCAGGACCCCAGGATTACAACCCAAGCCAAAGGCAGA